GATAATTAAATAGGTTGGTTTCGAATTGAATTGAATTGAATTTTTTGCAAGAATTCTCTATGAATCAAGACTTACAAAACAGACGGTTCGGATCGTTAAAATTGGATGTAGAGTGGGTCCCATAATTAATCCTAAATTTTTGAAAAGAGTGAAAATCCCTTACCTTAAAGGGCCTGACGATATATATATCATTTACGTAAAACATATATAGTTCTTTCGATACAAAGGTAAACATATGCATAGTGTTTTTTTTTTTTTTTTTTTTTTTTTTTTGGTCTGGTAAACATATATAGTTAGCATATGTCGTTTTATTTTAGTAGGCATTCGGACACCACATGTTTGTCAATTATTTTCTTTATGATTGACCGATTCAATTTAAATGGTAATAATAAAGGAAAGTATGCCAGGAAAGAAATTAGGCGTATGAAAATCCATTTCATTTTGAATCTAAAATAAATCGGACTTAATACAATAAAATGATAGAATTATACCATTTTTCTCATCCATAAACACTACTCCACATTTTTATAGTAAGCATAAGAAAAGCACGCGCAAGAGGATGAGTACACGGGAAGCCCAGAGACTTCATTTGGCATTGTGCGGCTTCCTTGGTGCAATCACTAAGCAAGCAAGCTATCGTTTCCTAAAAAAATTTAGAGTACCAATATAATTCCCTTATATAAATTAAAATTTTGAATTACGACACTTTTTTTGTGGGTAAATTGCTCTATCTTCAACTACATATACTCCATGTACTGGGGAAAAAAATATTAGGTGATACTGAAACATAATCATGTTGTATAATGCCTCTTCATATTATAATATGGGTTGGTAACGAGAGTTTATTAGGTTTAGTATTAATATCATATATTTTATTTTGTGATCTAAACTTCTAGGCATTTTTATTCTTAATGATCCGTAATTAGTATTCCTAAAGCAGAAAGAAAATAAAAATATTTAATCTAATATGCATGTGTTGGTCTCTCATATATATGTCGTGAAGGTAATCAGTTGGTGGATTACTTAGCTAATTATGGAGTTGACCACTATGGTTGCAGCTTATCTCTGTTATCTTAGCTTCCACGTTATAGAGTTTGTTGAGAGAATGAGTAATATTTCTTCATCCATGTTTCACTACATGCGATGTAAAACTAATGAACACTGAGGGACTTTGGTTCAAACAAACTCCAGATTTTCTGTTAAATGCTTTACTTGAGGTTTGTAACCACACAAATAATTAGTTGGGTTTTCTTGGCTCGTGTACTTAAGGAGACGAGGGGCCGTTCTATTGGGGGCCTAGCTTCTTCCAATTGCTTTGAGGGGGATAGCAGTCGTAGTCTGAATCCTAATGTGTAATTTAACTTGCCTAATCCCCTATTGCATGAACTAATTTTTCTTCCTTTGGGTTGTGACCTTTAACTTGTAAATAAAAAAGACCTTTAATCCAAAATTTGATCACGTGAAATGAGACTCATATTAGAGAAAAATAGTCATTCTCTACTTGATGACTATTTGTCACAATGCACAACATGTAGATGCATATTGTTTATACCATATTTAGGGCCTCGTATTTAGACCTCGTATAAATACTTGGGGAACTTAAATGTAATTATGTAATAAAGGAATGGGCAAATATGTAATTAGGGGAGGAGCCCTTATTCTATAAAAGGGCCTCCTCACCCTCACAAAGAGGAGAGGTCAATTTCTTGGCCCTCTCACCCCTCTCAAAGCCTCCTCACATCCCCTAAGCTCTCTATCCCTCTTCAACAGAGAAATATATACAATCAGTGTGGACGTAGCCCAAACCTTGGGGTGAACCACGATAATTCTTGTGTCATTTACATTTTATGCAGATTCACGGTCGGATTTACGTTGTACCAAGACCATCCGGTTTTGTGCATCAACACATATAATTCAACTGGGCCAGTAATCCATAAACAAATGCTGTTAACGTGCATACAAAAGCATATATATATATATATATATACATACATACATATACGTATATAGTAAAAGGGTAGGCGATCGGTTCAATTCAAATAGTTGGTGCGCAGCGATATTTGACGTACTAATAATTCAGACTAGCAGATTTCAAAGGCAATCTACTCCAGCCTATTCTAGCTGATATACATATATATCTTTTCGCCAAAACGAGGTAGTCTCATGTCTTTTCCCCTGCAATTTGTAATAATATGAAAATTATGAATATATTGCATAATTCAGTTGTTGGTTTATTATTGTAACTTGTTGTATATATGTATATATAATATATAAATCTTTTACGGTTTCAAAGATATCTTTCAAGAAAATCATATGTTTCCGTTCTATATTTGCCACTGATGATCTGCAGAAGGGGGTGAAGAAAAGCATGAGAGTTGACAAATATTAATATAACACTGCATGAGAGAGAGAGAGAGAGAGAGAGAGAGAGAGAGAGAGATGTGTACTAGTAATTAGCAGATGCAGTGGGCAATGGCAACCCATTCACTGAGCTGTAATGAGATGGGGCGCATGTGGGTAGGACTCAGAACCCTGCCTGCTCCTCATTCTCTCTCTAGAGTAACAGATAAAGAATTATATTACCGCTGAGAAATATTGGAAGGAACCATATACATGCTAACTTAGGATCGATGTGAATGTGATAAGACAAAATTCGATTTGTAACTTGGTCCATGCTATCTTCTCCTCTCCTCTGACTGTCTTTGCTTGCAATTGCCTGCCAACAACTGTCATGTTCTAAACATCCCACTATTAATTTTTATGTATGCCCAAGTTGGAAATTCTAATAATAACTGAGTATATTATCTTTAGTGTTTACACATTGTATTCTATCATCAATCATCATTTTTACTACGCACCACGTTTGGTAAATATTTGATGTATAATGTAGATGATAAAAGGCAAGTAGTGAATTGTGATGATAGTTAAGATATTTCTTTTTAACTCATTGTGTTTAGGATTTAAATATTTTTTTTCCTCTTAATATGTAGATTGGTATAGAATACAACTTATAATAAAAAAATATAACTCATGAATAGAAATAATTTTTGAATATGTAGACGGTGAAGTACACAATTGCACTATGTTTCTCTACAGTCTATTAAGTGCACATACACAAGTCATATAAGTATTAAGTTTTTAAGCATGTATGTCAATTAGGCTTGTTAGCCAAAATGACTCTTCACTTTAGTTCTTAACAATGAAAATCGATAGGAGTAATTTTTTAGTTTGTCCACCACAAATCATTTTGGTTATTCCGTGAAAAATCTATTAATATCCTCGTTAAATTATCATGTGAATGACCCATGTGACCACATTTTAAGGGTATGTTTGTTAAACCAACCTCTCCACATCAAGGACATATATTGACAAGTTTTCCACGGAATGATCAAAATGATTTTACGGTGGACAAACTCAAGGACCATTTCTATCGACTTCCATGTCAGGGACCAAAATGATGAGTTATGCCAATCTCAAATACTATTTTGGCTAAAAAGCCATATCAATTAATCGTGAATGACTTGTTAGGAAGTATTATCATAGTGAAATTTTACAATACCATTTGTTAAAAAATTACATTATAATCGTCAAAATTTACTGTTTAGAATTACGTAATAATAATAAATGTTATAAAATGATATTGTTTATTATACTATGTACCAACAATGAATATTACACCATGAAACTTTTAATACAATATAGTTGTAAGTCGCTATTAGTGGACATCGTGGAAGTACCTATTTTTGTTAATTATTTACTTTTCAACTCCCTACTTTCACGTTTAATGGTGTTACAATGTTTGGACTACAAGAAAGATGAGGTTATAACTTATAATCCAAGTTTATATAGAAATGGTAAGGTTATATAGTTAATAACAAGGGCAAGTCTTCAATAGTCCGAACTACTAGATAGTCCGTTTTATATCCATTTGACAAATAAGTAAAAATAGTATTTTCTCAATTCAATTTTGATCACTCATTTTCTATACTATACTATACTATTGAAGAAAAATTGTAATAACATATAATGATATTGTCATTATAGTTAAGTTGTAGACATTATATGTGAACTTGATTACATTGTAAAATAGTAATGGTTTGATTAAAGTGTACCAGTACCCTTTCTCATAAGATCACAAATGTTTTCACAAAATTTAGAGATCTTAAACGCATCAAATTTTCAGACCCTGCGGCCAGGTTACTATCTATAATGTTATCTAGTTGTGGTACCATATGCAAGTATTTACCAAGAAAAAGTAATTTAGTAGAAAGTGCATACTCTAAAAGTAGTTATGATTAAAACTATGATTAATAGAAATCTTTTAGAAAGACAGTAGTGGTACTGTAATGATGCTGCTGTGATCACTCTATTCTCTCTAACTGCAATTAAAATTACTACTGCAACTTTACAGTGCGCATGGAATGGTATAATTAAGCAAGCAAAAGGAGGTCAGAGTTAACTTTCCCAGTAAAACAATACAAAAAAACAAACAAAATATTTAAATAATTCAATTGTTTAAGATTCAAAATGCTTCTCTGATCATGCTCCCCATCTGCAAAAATATACTCTTACACCCCCACCAAACTGACCAAAAGCCTTATCTTTTCCGAACCCATTATATACTTCTTTTCAACTGTTAAAATTGATATTTTAATAAGTTCTCTCTTTTCCTCATATTCTACATGCTCAAGTACTATTACCAATATTTTTTTATATATTTAAAAATTGGAGTTACCCTTTGTTTCCTTGGCCTTTATTTAAAAACTCCCTATCTATATAAGCATGCCACAACCAACTAACAAAACACTATCAATATATGTATAGGTGCTCCATGGCTGTTCATTAAGGTAGGGAAAAGCTTTCATCCTCAACATTTCATTTCCCAATATATTTATCTCATCTTTCTTTGCTCTCATGTATTTCTTTCTTTATTTGATTACGTACTTGTCTTTTAAATTTAAATATGTTTCATGTATGAATTTAATTTTGAGCTGCTTCTTCTTTGAGTTTCTCTCTGTGATTGACCCTATGTGTGGCACAGTTTAAAGTTGCCGAAACTGACCTAAGATATGGTTGTTTTGTTCCCTTGGCAATCACAATTTTGATGATACAGCTGAAATTAAAGATGGCATGCAGTTTTTAAAAGTGACAAAATTGCTAACAAAATACAAAGCTGAAGCTGAGGTTTGATTTTGGCTCTGTTGAGAAAGAAAGCATTGAAGTCACTAAAGCAACTCATTTCTTGGTCTTTTTTGGCTCCTCCCTTGATATTCTAATATCGGTTGGCAGCTGGATCTGGTACTGGTATGTCATCATGAAATTTCCTTTGGTATTACATGGATAGATTAGAAACATTAAAATCTGGCACATTTAACTAAGAGAGTTGTTATTGACATTCTAAAAATGTCATTATGAGAAAAACACAAGAAAAAATTTGTATAAGAAAGTAGTTTTGAATGACGTTTTTGGAATGCCAATAACATATCATTAAGAGATGAAATATAGAAATATGTATATTATATACATGCATCAATATGTTAGTTCATTATGTCATATGGGCATTGTTTCAAGTATTATTACATCATATTTGTACCCTTTCTGAACAGAAATCTACAAAACAACTTAATGTAGGTTTGCAATCAATGGACGGTTTGGATTGGGACGGCTCACACATCACAAATACATCAACCTTATTATGGAGCAATCATCAAGTACATGATCTTGAAGAAAGCTTGTTGTTGTCCAACTCAAGTTCCAGTGCCTTCATTCCAATCCAAGAGCTTCCGAAGGTCCAAACATCGCATGTGATTATGAATTCAAATGCTGAAAGACCAAGCAATATTGGCACTCATCAAATTGCTCATCAGAAAAATCGTTGTGGTTTGGATTCAGTGCATGATATGCCAACTTTGAGAGCTGATGAATTGTGTCAATCCCCTTTGAATATCAGCAGGCCTTATAATTTGATGAGTTCACTGAGCACTAGTACTTTCATGGCTGCTGATCATTATGGCATTATTGGGAAACATGTACAACCACAAGCCAATTTTCATGGCTTACAAGATCAACATGTCAAGGCTAAGCCAGCAACGACTTGCTCTATTGAGTCCTTGGATTGCTTGCTCTCAGGCACTAATAGCAACACCGACACATCTGTAGAAGACGACGATGGTATTTCTATGCTTTTTTCGGATTGCAGAAGAAACTTGTGGAACTTTGGAGCAGGCAATAATAGTGCAATCTCTTCTGGAGATTCTGAGACAACGAAACTGTAGTCTCTCAAAGCTCATCAGATTTATATGTCCAAATCCAAGGTAAGCCAAATTCCACAAAGAGAAGCCATGATCAAAGTGAGCCCAAATTGCACGAAACAAATTATAGTCACTTCGGTCTTCTTCAAACAGATTATTCTTCTACTAGTGAAGGCGGTTTTAGGCTCATATCTGAAACCCCACCAAAGCCGAAGAAACTCAGATCCGATAACAAGCGTCCAAGCTCATCCAACATCAGCTTTCGACAGCCATCTTCATCTGTGCCAACTTTGTCTATTGAAGAACCTGATCCCGAGGCCATTGCACAGATGAAAGAGATGATTTATCGCGCTGCGGCTTTCAGACCTGTGAACTTGGGGCTGGAGATGGTGGAGAGGCCAAAGAGGAAGAATGTGAAAATATCATCTGATCCACAGACTGCGGCTGCAAGGCAAAGGAGGGAGAGGATCAGTGAGAGAATTAGGGTTTTGCAAAGGCTGGTTCCTGGTGGAAGCAAGATGGACACTGCATCAATGCTTGATGAGGCTGCAAATTATCTCAAGTTCTTGAGGTCACAGGTCAAGGCACTTGAAAATTTAGGCCAAAAAATTGAGTCCATGAGTAATTTTAATATTCCTCCTACAAGCTTTGCTTTCTCTTTCAACCCATCTTTTCCCATGCAAACCCATAATCATAACCCACTCCAAAACCCTTATCATATCGACCAACCCCACAGTTGAAAAACTAATCTCAAATCAGGAAAAAATCCCTAACCCAATGTCCTTTGTCCTTTACTATATCATTTTCATCATCATCATTTCATCCCCCAATGATTAACTCCCAAAACCGGTTTTTTATTACCAAAAAAAAAAAAAAAAAAAAAAATTAGCAGCAAATTTTTTATCTAAGATCCAAATCATTCTCTTCATCATTACATGTATCTTGAGTTATTAAGGCTCATCCCATGCCATCATAACACCCACCACCCAAGATCAGCTTCCACAAGTAAAACTTGGAAATGAATCTATTTCCAGTACTATACTATTTTGCTGCTTCCACTATATATCCATATGCATCATGTTTCAGCGAAGGAATATTAAGATATGATATAGTAGAAGTAGCAAAACAACGAGTGGAAATAGTGTTTAGCGGCACATGATTTTGCTTTTATACAAAAGGGATTAGCAATTATAACACCTATGATTAAGATCAAGGGCTAGAAAGCGATTACCACTTTAAGCTTTTGTTGTACAATTGTTTAATGTGTTTTATGTCCTTGAAGCTCAGCTTTCATGGAGATCTTTGTGTATAGGTATTTCTTTTTAATGTCAGTGTTGGGCTAACCAATGCAAGGGACATTCTCTTAAGAATTGTGAATCCTAGTCAGTGGTCCTGTCTCCTTGATTCAACCCAAAGCGTGCTCTAGAAAATCACCCCAACCTCATTGCTTAGCACATGTTATACTACTTTTCTTCTGGACAGGTGGGTTTGTTAATTAATTTGCATAAAACCTTCCTTTTATCAAGAAACTTCATCCCAATGATAGATTATGCAACTAATGATATTCTTCATGCTGATGTTGGTCTATTATTCTGGTTGTAATGATGTGTGTTATGAATTTTACGATTTTGGAACCTTTGCAAATGGCTTAACCTAATTTGGCTTGTACGTAAAGTCTCAAACTCAATGGTCAGCACTGCAAATTACAAAATTAAATTAAATTGTATAACAGAATTATGCAAGACTAGTTCTACACCAATAGTCACGTGCGAGGTACCTACCTTTTCTCTCGAAATATTGTCCCCTTCATAAATTTATTTTATTAACTAATAATAAAAAGAAAAGACAAAACAAGGGAACATCAACCAAAACCTTGCGAAATAAAGTAACAAAAGAACATTAATTTGCAAGTGGTTTGTAGCTCTAGTTGTTAAAAACATTTGTTCTTGCACTAGAAGTCTCGTGTTCGATTCTCCCTCTCCGTAGTTTAGATGAATTTAGTATAGATTATCCTATTATTTGTTAAAAAAGAAAAGAAAAAAAAGGAACATGAATTCGAAAATCGAAAACCAGACCAGCCTATAAAGTGATATTATATTTTATTCTTCATTGTATAGAGAAAATTTGTGTACCCTTGATGCACTATCCAGGATCTATTGGAGATAGTGAATCCCACCTATCGATCTTATATAAAAGAAAGAAAAAAAACATCCGCCCTATTGGCAAAATATATACCCCAAGTTCTCTTTTCCCTCTATAAATTAATACGTTTTTGGGCATGGCATGGATTAACCTTTTTCATTTTTTTTGCAAATTAAAATCTAATTCCCATTTAAAGCTACACAAATTCCAAATGATGATGTCCTTGATGATACTGGGAATTTGACCAGAAGGAAGAGAAAAATTTGAAATGAGAAAGGAAGTTCCCTTTAAAGGTGAGCTTAAAGCTGGTAATGCATTGTGTCATGAATATGCATGATTTGCGGGTCTCATTTGGCTTCGTCATGTAATTTAGAAAAGTTGGATTTGATTGGATAAACGAAGATGATACTTTGCTGGAGATCTTTCGCTAAATCTAGACCTTCTGACGTTCTCAAAGGAACCTGGATCCCTGGCTTTGGCTTTTGCTTTTTACACGTCTCAAAATAACAAATTTCACATTTTGTAAGCTTTCACAAGTGGGAGAGATATTGATTTTCATTAAACAGTTATGACATAATTTTAATCTTCTCAATTTTTTCTCCTACATTTTTCATTATTTGTTTCTACTTCAAACTATATAACTCCTTAGACTACACTAAGGCAAATTGAGAGTTTGAATTCGGAATGCAGTGAATTGAAGAAAGACTATCCTCCAGAGCAATTCACCACTTGCCTCAGATTTTACATTTAGAGTTTGATTAATTAGAGTGAGCAACGTTGTCACTTTTTGAACCTTCAAATTTGAAAATGTGGGCTGTTTTTATGCAGGATTGTTCAGTTACAATTGCACGAGATGGAAAATAAAAAATAAAAAAGTTATAGACATGAGGTATGAAGTTTTTCTTTAAAAACCAGTTCGAAAATCGACATATTTTTGGGGGATCAATCCGTAACTTGAAAAAATTTAGAATTCTCTCTTAATCACTACTCACCTTAATGTTTGTTCTTTAATAAGTTTTTCTATTTAACACTACCTTCTATCTAAGTTCACTCCGATTTCTATTTACACCTCACTAAAAATTTTGAATTAATTTAACTTATTCTAAGCACACAACATTTGTTACCAAATTTCCCTTAAACACCAACGCACCAATAATTATAAGAGATTTCGCACAGACAAAAGATGAGGGTTTTTATGTTTTGTCATGGTGTCTTGAAGAACAATCTTTCGGAATTCAAATGTATTTCAGATTTTGATTGCTTTCTATGCTCGTATAGAGCTTCAAAACTTTCTAGCTTTTGATGTTCGAGATTTTAGTAATTGGTTGATTCGAGATTTAAAAATCAAATTAGATTGGTATCCTTGCTCCTCCAACTTTAATCACATCCCTGAGGCCCTCTCTCTCTCTTCATAATTGATACCTATGATATGCAATCTGCGTGTGCAACTTTTAGTTTGTTTATACGAGTTACCAACTTATCATTCATGGTACTACTTCATGTTTTGTAATTTATTCATGGTACTACTTCATGTTTTATAATTTCACGTATTAGCTGAAGAAGTATTTGAGTTATTTCAAGACCCCAATTTTTTAATATTCGAGGGCTCACGAGCTGCTCTTGCTGGCCGTTCCTAGATTATGTGGGCTTTGAAGGTTGAGAATTAAACAAGTCTGACTAATTATTGAAGAAAACAACCGCAAGACGTGAAGCAAGGCATACCTCTGTTGCTATAACAAGGAGCTGTTCCCCTCGTCCTCTTCAGCATCTCAGCTACTTCAGTTGGTTTCCTATATTCTGGGGGATATTTTTGTTGATAAAGCTACTTTTTTTTATTTTGTTTATTTTTTTTGAACAAACAAAATTATCTACACTAGGTGGGGAAGTGGACTAAACCTCATAATGGGTTAGCAATAATGTGGTTCAAATTCGCTTTTGACAAGAATCAAACATAAGTGAACAGGAATAACAAAAAAATTAACCATATCATATCTTATCTCTTAAACAAATAACTTAGAAAATAAAATAAAACCCCTAATTCAATAATCTTAAAATAATTCACGTCATCTTCAGTCATTCTCAATGTATCTAAACATAAAACGCTAATAATAGATCCAAAAATTTAGTTGCAGTAAATTGGTAGATCAAACTATTTTTAGAAACAAAAATAACATAGAGGACTAATCCAGCAAATTAATTGGATCAAGATAGAACAGCTGGTCCATCAATAGATTATGGCGTGCGCCATTTATTTTGTACTTATTGTATACAGCAACCAGAGAGTTGAAATTGAGACAAGATTTGTTGGATATATGTCAACAATCTGTGATAAATTTATATATACTAATAAATATTGAACAAAGTATGAACAACGAAATAATTTAAAACAAAAAGATTAAAGATCGAGGCTTGCGTACCGTAATATCCTTAAAACAGAAATTCGTCCCTACTCAGTGCTTGTAGTTCTACGGACGTCTGCTTCACCAGGATTCAACGATCAAGTTAGAATTCCAGCACCGGAAAACTTAACTTGTGGCGAACTTCTGTGTGGTTCTCTCAGAAAGGATGTTTGAGATTGTAGAAGAAGAATATTGATTTTCTGTGTCCTAAATGCCATGCAGATGGATGTATATATAATAGAAGGATGCCTGTTCGCAACAGGTATGATAATGAGATGTGTCTGTTGGGAGACATCTTCTCCAGATGGGTGCTTTGCTCTGTGTTCTTTCTGAACTCTTCAGACTTCATCTGAAAGGATGAGTCTATTGGTAAAAAATAAATAATTAATTAAATTCGAAATCAATTAAAAATAATTAATTAAATCCGAAAATAATTAATTAAATAATTTAATTATTAAAGCCCGAGCCCCAAGGCCCAAGGCCCATCTTTTGATAATTATATTAATTATATATATATATATATATTAATTATAATTAATTAATTAGTGCACCCCAAAGCCCAACCCCAAGGATGAGCTCAATTTTATTCTCCAGGCCTATTACTCCAATCACTTTCTATAAAGGATAAAGCCTTATAAAGTGATAAAATCTTTTGGGAATGGCTAATGTGGGACAAAGAAATTTCTACTCAAACTATTCAAATTTCCAACAATACCCCACATTTGAGTTGAAATTTCATTCAAACTCCAACAATTACCCCACATTTGAATGCAAATGTAAATGCAAATGGATGACTAGGCTGCCTAAGAATGAGAGAGAATAGACATGATATGCATCGAGTGAAGTGTCTTTTGGACTTGAACTTACCCTAGTGAAAACATATTGGGTTTACTTGGTGATGCAGTGGATGTGGAAGATCTTGAACTGTCCACCGCAGTAGTAAACCGAGACAATATGTTACACACATATCATGTTTGCCACACGTAAATTCATACGGTTATGTTCATTTTGGCCCTAAACAGATCCCGGATTTCGTAGGAGCTTTAGAATTTAGCCATGTCAATTCTCATAAATGTGGCCCCATTTGCTCCTATATAAGTGACATTAATTAAGAATAGTCTGCCATATTCCTCTTGATAACAAGATATTAATGTCATTAAATGTATAAAACATAACCCCTCAAACGTCAACAGACAACACACATTTTATCATAAGAATGGGTAAGTTGTGTATTCAACTTTGGAATCAAACTCAACCAGTTTGCCTATTGAACCTAGACCATGGGATCTCCAATCAGCTAGGTTAGGTTTCCGCCCAGTTCGATTCATTGAATTGGCTTAAGACCCATTCCCCTCGATGTAAATAATATTTGCTCTTTTGGTAGGCCTTTTTGATCGGATCATATTTATATATATTTTTACTTCGAATTCACTCGTCTTTTCTTAGTTAGTTCCTTATATTTTTGAGCTATTTACGTTATTTTTGTGTTTATAGGATC